ATCTCCGGTGGAAACGGAGAGGTAAGGAGGTCTTTTATAATATCCGCTTTGCTTGAACACTCTGCATCAGAAAAAAACTGCCCTCAAATGGCTAGTCAGCTGACATAATTTTTGGCCTTACCTGGGTTTTGGAATTAATTGGAACTAGACTCAGCACGGATTTCAGGAGCAGATAGTAATATAATTTTCACTAAAATATTTATCCGACTTTTTCGTAATTCAATTTTTCGAAAGACGAATGGTCATCGTTTTTGTTCCGTAGTCTGCACATACAAGCCATTAAGACTGTTCCTTGAAAACGGGGCTGGATTAGGCCTCAGGGGCCCAGAATGCTGGCGGGCAGGAGGGAATCGCAAATTTGCGGATTGCATACTCTCTGCATTGTAGGCATTTTACCTGCAACGACTGGCTGACTTGTATATATTGTTTGTAATTTTGGATCAGGAAGTCACTAACCCCTGAGTGCAAAGATATTGTCCCGATGCGACGGCAGTAGATCGAGTTTATAGAAAAGGTCGGACAATGTTTAGAAACTTTAAACGCTTTTAACTCCGTTTATACAGAACTTTGCGGTTCTAAAAGTGGTTCCATTGGTTTCCTCATGAACAATTCTTTTGAGGGTACCTTTTGAAATTGAAAATGTGACAAAATAAACATCAAAATTTGCAGTTTCAGTCAAACATTTCATGTCTGACCTCTCCCATTGACTCGATCCACTGTGCGGCGCGGCCAGCCAGCCAGCACGGAACGCGCATTGGCGCCTGCAAACCTAAGGGATAACTCAAGCATTGCGCAATGCGTGAAGTATCTACTTAGGTTTGTAGGCGCCAGTGCGCGTTTCGTGCTGGCAGCACGTCTCGCCGGTAAAGTAGTTAAGTGCCTGGACAGTTAAAACGCCTTTACCTCCGCGGGTATGCAATACAGACATCCATACAGCCCGAACAGTTGCATCCAAGAGTTCTAACGTAGTAGATCATCTCCCATAAATTCCAATTTTATCCTCAGACGTTCGTATTTCATTTATACGGTTGTAAATGATTTGGTTAATTTTTAACTGATGAATAAGAAACCAAAAGAAAGCACTAAAATTGTGTGGCATTTCGTGTTCTATTTTCGATACTATCACACAATTTTGGTAAATTTTTACTGTGCGTTGTCTCCTCAAAAAATTTCCAGATTTCATGGGTTGCGATTAATTTATAATCTTTGTCGAGCTAATCATTGAGGACATTAATTCCTACACAAAATGATTATATCATAAATAAAAACACCGGAAGAACTTTTGATTTTTTCTTTGGAAAGCGAATCAAATATCAAAAGGAAGCCGATGATAGAGCACATATATGGATGATCATAGACTTGATGGAAATCAGTTTTCCCTTTATTTTACCTCTATGCATCTATGTGTATCATCCGTTTCATCAATTAATATTGCAGGGTGGGGAGGTAAAAATAATGAGGAAGTCTAGTAGTCTACATTTTAATGAATATGTGAGAGAATGGTAGAGTTGATTGCATCACAAAAATGCGCCCCTGGAATAATTAAGATTCTTGGAGTTTAACCACATGTCATACCACAGATATTCATTGCAGGTATTGTAATGCTAGCAATAAACAAAGTGTATGAGCTACACAGAAAGTGATGTGCAGTAAATATCTGCATGATTGGCGCTAGTAGATTTCGAATTACGATATTGCAACTTCACATGATAAAACAATTTACACATATACTTTTTGAGATTCTTATTTAAAATAAATAAATATGTTACATTAAATGTGCTCAAGAACTCGCCAATTGTTTCATCGTCACTTTTCCTTTCATCCTCCTTTACCAGAAAAAATCTCGGGGGAATCATGTATGAAAAGAAAAAGATATTAAAAGTTGAACACGAAATTTTATTCAGCAGACGCAAAGGGTGTATGTTTTTGCTTGAAGTCACTTTTTTGGCGGGAACCTAGCGTTCACGACCAGGATACTAATCCTATAGCCGGTGTCATCATACCCTGCCGAATTGAAGTCTATCGATAAAAGCGAGGTATCGAAGTTTCAAGCTGCAGAATCGGACTGATGAGTTTCAGGATGCATGTTAAATACCAGCCATGCGGTGCCCCATGAAGAAGTCTCGTCAAGTATTTCATCGAGAGGTTCTGTCAAATTTGAATTTTCATGATGATCTTTGATGAAACTCAGCTGAGGCAGTGTTTGCTGCCGGATACATTGCTGGTACTGTCTTCTTGATGAAGATCTTGCCTTCAATCGCCTTGTGATTTAAGAGATGATATGCTAGTGTCGTCAGAACTTAAAATTTAAACCCGAGCTAGGCCACTGAACAGTTTACAAAATTAAGCACTAACATAGACGCTTTCTTATCTAAATTTTGCGTAGTGTTTGATCGTCGCTTTGAATCTTTCTAAATTGATTTTATAATTGAGGAATTGGCGTTTTTTTAATTTATAAAAGAAGTGAATAAAAAAATAATAATTCACATATTAGAATTCCATAAAAGAAGTGAAAATGTTGAATTGAAAATTGATTGACAGCTAATAATATGCGTGTGAAAGAAACATATTTTCCGATATTTCAATAGATTTGTTAATCCCTCCTAATTTAGAAGTTTTTCGTGCAAGCGATGTTTTTACATTAAATTTTGACGAGGAGTCATATTTTTGAGGTGATGTTCATAACCTATTCCGTGGTCCATTCGAACCGGAACTTTTTGAAGTGATGAAGTTTTCAGCCGGATGATCGATGGGTTAGCAGCAACAGCCACATCTACCCCAACCCCAGCCCCAAGGCCCACATCCACACCTACCCCAGCCGCATCCGCAGCCTCCCCAACCGCCCCAACCGCCCCATCCGCCCCAACCACCACAGCCGCAGCCACAACCGCAGCCTCCGCATCCACCACATCCACCACATCCTCCTGCGTTGACGTTTGCGTTGGAGATAGCACAGCTCTGAAAGCAAATATTACTTCTTAGAGAGAGGAAATATGGAGAGGAAGACTAGAGACAAGAGACCCTCCGCTGGCCACTTCGCGACAGGTGGAAGCTTTTACTTTCGGGGATTCAATACTTCCTTAAGCGTCCAGCGAACGATCTCAACTTTTAGTAATTTTTAGCAATGCATTGATCTGTCTGTTTTTAAATGTGTAATCCACCGTTTAAAATTTGCGTAATATTTAGACTTTTTTTATGAATACTTCTAAAATTGAAAAACCAAATGATATTGATACAGATGTATTTTACTTAAATTTGTGTTTTTGCAAGTCTATAAACCCTTTACAACTTTATAACATTTTAAATGCCAAATGATAATGATATAAATATATTTTACTTATATTTGTGTCTTTGCAAATCTATAAACCAGAGAGGGTAAAAAGAATGGATAAGTCTACTCTACTCTACTTTACTCTCTACCTTTGATTAATGTATTTTCTTTTTTTAGGTTGAATCATAGAGTACAATAATCACAATGGACTGGAGCGCCGATGAAGTAACTTTTAAAGGCTGTTTTGTCCAGTATCGTACTCCTGAGACTAGTGTGCGGCGACTAGTGATTCCGTGTGAACAGGGTTCCAGCTCTGGGCTTCGCTCGGGTAATACAGGTATACAATTTATTTCTTAAAACCGGGATTTTCGTATATTTTTCAATTTGTAATGTCTTGGATCAACATAATTTGCCGAAATTGAAAGAAATTGCCGAAAAGAATTATCGATTAATGAGTTCCAAAAACCATTCGCAGCCCGCGATTCTCCCATAAGCCGCCGTGTTAAAAAATGCTGTTTGGTTCACACTTTTGGCGACCAAGGGGTTGGAATGATCCATTTGTAGATTGAAATCACCGGCGCTCCAGTACGCAGCTATAGCTGTACTCTGTTGTACTCTATGGGTTAAATCAACCGAAACCCATCAGTGGATCCAGCAAATTGGCAACACTATTCTTTCTCCGTTTAAACCTATGGAAATGTATCGATTTTCGGAGATGCCAGGTCGCCAGGTGCTTCGACAAATATCGATTATTCAACACAAGTTAAAATGGAGGGGAGTCAGTGTTGCCAAATTGCTGAATTCGCCGCTGCCGAAACCTAAGGAACTTCGAGACATTTCAGGATTGAAAAAGTGTTATTCTGATGTAGGTCCTTGATCTTGGACTCTATGAGACTCAATGGACTTAATGGAGAACTTGTATGCACATTTTTAATGCTTCATCGGTGATGAGGAGATCAAAGATCTGATTTTGCACTTTTGATTTAAACGGTTTTTTGACATGGGAAAAATTATGAAAGTAGATTTAAAAGTGAGAAAATGCACCGTCTAGTGACGTCATCTGGCAACATTTCCCATTTAAACGCATGTATCTGAGCAGATTATATTCTTTTTTTACATCTTCTCCAATAATCGTTCAATACACTAAGGGTATAATCGTGTTCAGCTCACTCAATAGTCTCCACTTAAACACGAAATTAATAGTGGCGTGACGTGCCTTACGATACATCGATTGTTATGCCATTTAAACCTACGGTAAAGGATCGATTATTAAGGTGTTCGCTGCGAACACCCTGTTTATCGATCCTTTTCCATAGGTTTAAATGGCACAACAATCGATTTATCGCAAAGCACGCCACGCCAATGCAAATTAATCGAATTTCAGACGCCTGCAAATTCTCCATTGAGACCACTGTATGATATGAAGTTGCGTGAACACAAAAATTCACGCTTCAAACAAACCTGGACATAGTCGACGACGAAGAGGACCAACAGCAGGGCGAATAAACTTGTAACCACAGGATTCATTGTGCCAACGTCGGTGAACAAACCAAAAGAAACTGAGGAACCTGTGACTCGATGGAGCAGGCGTTCAAAGTTATGTTGAAAAGTAAAGCGTTGCTCCTCGTTTTATACCCAAGAAAAGCGCTAACTGCACGGGTGCATTCATTCGCTCAAGGGGTGAATGGCATATCAGACATTAGGATGATAATGTGCAGTATGCACCGCCGTCCTAAAGAGCTGCGTCTTATCGAGTGGTTACTTCTTCTCGCTCCAGCTGCGCATCTTCGGGCGTGAAACGGTGTGGGTCTTGATAGCTTCAGGTTTCAAATTGATCGAGTGCTCCTGATTCCATTTAAGATTTATTCCACGCCGTAACTGCAAGTTTATGTGCTAAAGTGTGACTTAATGCCCATGCGTTATGCGTTGAACAGGGTGCTCCAGAAGTCGCGCGCTCTCAGCACTGCCGTGCTAAGGAAAAACGCCGTATGAATCTTCAGGCGTTGCCAAATTTACTTTGATAAAACACGAATTCCCTGGTAAACTTATGATTATTTTTCTACCAGTCTTTTAGAGAATTTTGTTTGCACTTTGATCTGAAGCTCCTGAAAATTTCAAGGTAGAATATTCATAATTTTCCTCAAAAATCAAAATTTTATCTAAGGAAATTTGGCAACTCCCGAATGTTCATACGGCGTTTCTCCTCAGCACGTTAGAGAACTTGGCATCTGTCTTATAACTCTCGGACACATTGAATCGGAGATTTGAAATTTTGGGGGTCCTAAGTAAAAAAAAAACGACTTTCAAGACCCCCAAAAATTTTGAAGGGATCTCTCCGAAAGGAGCACAAGCTTTCAGGGTGGGAGGGGTTGTGCGAAACTTTGGGATCTCTCTGTGTGTATTGACAGTTACATTAGTATCCAGTTTTTAGTTGTTTTTGCTTATTCCAACTGCACAACAGTTGCGTGGCGTGAATAATCGATTATCGATATCTCGCCATTTGAAGCTATGGTAAAGAATCGATTGCTAAGGTGTTCGCTGCGAACACCCTGATAATCGATCTTTTTTCATAGGTTTAAATGGCATAACAATCGATATATCGCAATTCACGCCACGCCACTGCTGCACAATGCGCATGTATTACGTAAATTTTTTTCCTTAACGAGGGGTAGGGGAATGGACGAATGTAAGTTGAGTCCCAATGCATAGAGGTCATTAGGGGAGAAGGTAAATTGAGTCCCGACTCCTAATTGGTGGTACGTAAATTGAGTCCCGGTACCATTGTCACTGTATGTGTGAGGATGGGAGAGTGTGCGTGAGAGGCAAGAAATGAAGTAAATGTTTTGTGAAGTTAAAGTGATTGTAAAAAGCTTAAATTTTATCTGCAAGTATTCACGATTCGTGGTTACTAAAAAGGTCGATTTGTTCCATTGGTTTTCTTGTACGCAACAGAACTTTGGTTTGTCGTCAAGCGCTGTGAATATTTAGGTTTAAAGGTGCAACCGAAGAAAGTTTTTTTGGACTTCGAAGAAGGTATACACAAAGCAGCTCGTCGAGTATGGCCCAATGTTAGACTTAAGGGATGTCGCTTTCATCTTGGGCAGAGTTGGTGGCGCCACATACGAAAGTGCGGCTTTTAGCGACCGTGTATAAAGACTCTCGATCTGAACTCAGCAATTATTTAAAATATGTCTTCGGCTTGCCATTCCACTACTATTCACTGTTCACCAACGCAAATACAGTGGGACTCAATTTACGTATGGGGGATTAATTGACGGGACTCAATTTACCTATGGGTGATTACTTGACGGGACTCAGCTTACCCTCGAAAGATCGTTTGGGACTCAACTTACCTTTTCCCAGGGGAATGTCTGTTTTTCGAGGAGTCAAGCTGACTTCAGTGGGCAATATTTCGGTCATAGTTTTTCTGGGAGGGATGATGGTGCTATTATGTTGGAGGACTAGGTCCTAGAACTTTTTCTGGCTTTTATGCATACAATAATGGTTCTTCCATGCTACAGAAAAGCTATGTTGTAACATAATAACGTTCTATTTTTTAAAATTTTATCGACACTATGAACATATCGTCACCTTCCCGGCAAAGTATCACAAGCGCCATTTTTACCGAAATTGAGT